CTTCCCTCCCATTTTTTGTGTGTTGCCCATATATTCTTGACAGGTCTTTTATTAAAATATATAAAATCTCCTTTCTACAATTACAGCTTTGGTTTAATTTATTTTTATGTCATGGACTTACTATTTGGAATGGTGGATGACTTGAGATAACAAACAAACAAAGCCTTACAATCAATGAAGTTGGAGTTGGCTACGTGAATCCTTTGTGCAGCTTTGTTTAGATTGCTTATTCATGGAATATTCAAAACAATTAGATTCTTAGTGATTATAGTGGACCATGTTAGTTTTGTTCTATCCCTTCTAACACGTTTTTGTGTGATTACGTCTCTTATGAAAGAGTTTCTTTGAGCCTATGCCAAATTTGGATTCGTTGAAATATTGAAATGAATATGATTTTATGCCGACTTCGATAACAATTACTGTGATTCTATTCCAGCACTGCCGTTTATTTTCCTTTCTGATGAGAAATAACAATTTCTATCATTTTCTTTTCTTTGCTCTCCAGGTTGATGACACTGAAGTTATCAGTTTCCTTCTTTCTACTGAAATTATTCCGCTGTGCCTGCGCACCATGGAGATGGGTAGTGAACTGTCAAAAACAGTTGAGTGCCTTGTGAACATTTCTTCTGATTCATCTCCGTTCTTTCTAGTTAGTTTCTCTAGGAATATACCAATGATTACCAGGTCTTTGTTAAGTTGCAATCTAGATATGGATGGTTTTAGATAGCCAATAAAGGTTTTTTCTTTTTGTATTCATGTGATTTAAACACGTAAGTAGTTAGATTTATTTTGAGTCTTGATTTCTGACTCCTATGCTATCTCACACACCCGTCTGTCAAAGCACCAGCAGCAACTGGTAAATTATGATCCTCACAGGAAGTTATTAATGAAATGAGTTAGTAGTATGATTTTCTAGTTAGGGCAACTAAATCTCTGGCATCACAAGAGTATTGGAATCTCCAGGATGGAGGAAATCCGTGAAGGTGTGGTTTTACTTCTATGCCAAATGATTGTCCTTGCCCTGCATCTGTCCACCGTTCATTGTCCAAAATAGCTGTATTGCTTTTGGGTTTGAAGTGAAATGTGATTATCTGAAATTATTCAGCATTCCTATTTTTTGCATTTGATTTTAACTAGGTGGTGGTGTATACAAATGTTAATCTGGAATCGCATTCAAGAGCTTCAGATTGGTTCACAAGCCCACTTGCTATATAAATTTTTTCTGCCTGTAACCTTATGTTCCTTGGGCTGCAGTGTATTCTATCTGCAGTCATCTTTACTGTCTCTCAAGCTATTAGTAGAATCCTGCTTCCTATTTTTGTCTCTTTAGATTGGTACCCTGGGATTGGGATCACATAATTGAACAAGACTATTTATGAGTTTTACAATTTGACATCAAGCATTCCTTAGCTATTGGTTGCTGGACATTATACAACTATGACAGAAAGGCTTCTATTTTCAGGTTGCTACATTTATTGTGCAAAAGATTTTGCTTGATGATGTTGGCTTAGATTACGTATGTACCACAGCAGAGCGGTTCTTTGCTGTAGGTCGAGTACTGGGAAATATGGTTGCTGCTCTTGCTGAGCAGCCTTCAGTTAGGCTGTTAAAACACATTATCAGGTGCTACCTTCGATTGTCTGATAATGCGAGGTGGGAATTATCTTCTTGATTCACCTCCTTTCATTTTGTTCATTTTTCAAAAAACGTTTATTTGCTGAAATCGTATACAGAGCTTGTGATGCACTGAGAAGTTGTCTGCCAGATATTCTTAGAGATGCAACATTTAGCAGTTGCCTTCGTGTGAGTACTCTTCACCGAGATTGCCTACTGTCAGAATTTTCCTCTCTCAAGCGGGGGAAAGGGTGATGATATTTACTGTTTGATTCGGTGAATGTTCTTTCAATAACTATATATTTTCAGGAAGATCCAACCACTAGAAGGTGGCTGCAGCAGTTGCTTCACAATGTGCAAGTGCCTCGGGTTGCTGGTATGCAAGCAGGGGGAGGATTCGATCACTTGCTTGTGAGCTGAGTCGAAATTCATCGTCATCTGTATAGTCTACATTGTTGCATTCCCTGTGCGACAGTGTTAATAGAATGTGCTCTAGGACATGTCTGTTATAAAACCTCAAAACTAGTCTTATATCTGAACAATTGGGTGTCATTTTTCATCCTGCTAGAGTTGTATATTGACCCAAAGAGAGGAGATTGGTAGATTCCATTAGCAAAAGATTTTGAGTGCCTTTAAACTAGTTACTTGCGTAGTGAAAAGATGGAACATTTGACTTTTTGAAATTTCTTTTGGATTATTCATGGGTTCTTACGCATCAAGATAAATGAGGATGATGAAAAATGGATTGGATGAAATACAGGTTGCTTACCTACTTAGGATGCGAATCAACCATGTTAGGAACAGACTGCGACATTGTTAGGATTTAACCGGCTTTGATCAATGGAGTTGGGCTGGACAAAAAGGACATTTATGGTTGTGGAAATTACACAAAACCATATTTTAACTATTCAACCTTCTAAAATCACTCTAAGTTTAATATTTCAATATAATAAGAAATTTTATTTTAATCAATATTTTTATAATTAAAATAAATATTTTACTAATATACTCCATTATACAAACTCTAATTATCTTTATCAACATTTCTTCATTCTCTCTCTACCCCCAAGACGATGTCGTTGAAGACTCCACCATTGCCTGTTCTTCATTCTCTCTCTCCATCCCCCAAGACGTCACCATCGAAAACGACTCGGATCGGATTAGCAACCAGCAAGATCTGAGCCACGCCACTTAGTTCACGTGACGCTGTCGCTTCTTCGATGACTTCAATCCACCGATGGTGCACTGTGATGGTGGTGGCGCTCGCGCGTTTGTATTATGTGTTTGGGTTATGTTGATTGTGGTTATGGTGGGGGTGATGGTTCAGGCAATTGTGAGGGCGGTGGTGCTAGTAGTGGTCACAAGAGGTGGTTTTTGTGTTAGTTTATGGTTGTGGCGGGGGTGATGGTTTTAGGCAGCGGTGGGTGGTGGACCGGTGGTGATACCGTCCTCAATGGTGATGAAGTTTTTGATTTTTTGATTTTTTTTATTTTTTCATCTGATCTGTTTAGATTAGTTTTCTTGTGGTGGTTGGTGTTTTTCGAAATAGTGGTGGTGGTTGAGTAGATGGCGGTGTTGATGCAATTGGTGGTTGTGATGGTTACGGTGGTGAAGGAGATGGGGTTGGAGGCGAAGGTGCAGCGTCGTGGTAGTATTTTGGTAGTGGTGGTGCGGCGGCGACGGTGGTAACGGTGGCAACGACGGTGGTGTGGTACTTGCGAGTTGCGATTGTGGTGGTGGTGTAGTAATAAAGTGTTTGTGACGTATTATTTGGGAGTTCGTGACCAACTATCGGGAGTTAGTAATGGTGGTGGTGGTTTTGGCGACGATGGTAGTGATGAGATGTGGTCACAAGTGTTGGTGGTAGTTAAAAATTATTTGATTGAATGTGACCATTAAATTAGTTAATCTGTGACCAATTAAAAATATAAATTGTGATAAAAAAATAACGTGTGACATAAGAAATTGTTAATATGTTACAGATAATTTGTTATTGCATAATAAGATGTGACTTAAAAAATCTGTGATTTGTGATCAATAAATAAATCGTGACTTATAATTTTTTTGATTTGTGATCGATGAACAAACTGTGATCTATAAAATTTTCGAATTGTGATCGTAAAATAATTTGTGACATAAAATTTTTGATTTGTGACCAAAAAAATAATAACTAAATAACTAAATCATTAATTGTGATCAAATTGTATTGATCTGTGACCTAAATATGTTTGATCAATAAAATAATTAACTAAATCATAAATAAAATTTAATAAAAAACTGATTTTTGAAGTTTGAAACTTGTTTTCTTAATTTTGAAATGTATGATACGTAAACTCTTACTTATGAAATTTTCTTTTTATAGTTCCATATAACTATTTAACTAATTTCTAATATTATTGTCTATTTGCGATTTAAATGGAAAAAAATATAACAATAGATAAAATTAAAAATAATTGGATTTGGGGAATTGAGGGAATATGTTCTTCATTCCTGCACCCAGGCTGTGGTGTGTGATTTGTGTTTGTGGCCTTTTTCCTAAAAAATTGACGTTTTATGCGGAAGATCGATTGTGGGTTTGCTTGACATGATTTGGGGAATTAAGAATTGGGTAAAATTCACAATTAAGATATTTAGTATGGACAAAATTTTCATGTCTAAAGTTTTGAAAATGCAAAAATCAGGTTTTCATTTATTAAATAAATAGATTTTATTAATTGAAAATAATAAGGTCACATATATACCATTAATGGTCACATGTTCATAATTATAGGTCACAAAGTTGTTTATTGATCACGTATTATCAAATTAACTAGTCACTGATTATTTCGAGGACACGAATGAAAATTTTTATAGGTCACAATTTATTAATCAATCACATAATTTTGAATTTGTTGGTCACAATTATTAAACTTTAAGGTCACAATTAAATAATTGGTCACACGTAATGAAATAGTTGGTCACAGGTAATCAAACAACAGGTCAAATAATTGGTCACATTGCATACCATCACCACCCTCACCCCACCGCTGCTGACACTACCACCACTGTCAGTTCCACTATCAACAATAACCACCCAATTTTCGGACAGAACCAAAACACCACCACCACCACTCCCTCAACCAAAAAACACCACCATTCCTACTTGCACCACCACCATGTCCACTACCCCAACACTGCACCACCACCACTCTATTACCACCACCATGATAGCATCAACACTGCCAGAGGTACCACACACATTACCACCAACACCACCACCAACACCATCAACACCTCACCTGCGACTGTTACTGTTCAATATTCGGCAACAGATTGCAACCGATCATGATTCTCGCAACAAATCGCCGCTCAACGTTATGCAAAAACTGGTCGCCATATTTGATCTGAAAAGCGGGGGCAGTGATTCTTCTCCGTTCGTGAGAGGAGTGTCGCTGCACCATCAAAACTGAGGAGGTTTCTTCCCAGGCTCGCCTCCGTTGTTATCGCCGTCGTCAATCATCACCGACGATTGCGACGGTGGTGTTTCAAGATAGAGAGAAGCAAGAGTATGAAGACGGTAGAGAGAGAGAAAACATAATGTAAAATTAGGGTTGGGGAAATTGAATTGAGAGAAATTAGTATTTAAATTATTAAATCAAACCTGATTTTTGCATAATGAAACTTAAGCCATGATTTTTGAATTGTGGTGTTTAAACCCCTGGATTTGTGTAATTTCCACTTAAGAATTTGCTTTTAAGCCCATTTGGATAGCATTTTGGAAGTTTTTCTTTCAATTAAAATAGCTTTTAAAAGAAGTTAGTACAATATTAAGAAACTTGTTGAACTAGTTAGGCTGGAATTTCACTTCGGGCTTTTCATTCTATTTTATGAGGAAATTTTTATTGGTTGTAGTGCGGGAGAAGCCAGTCGCGATGACTCCATCACTATATTTTTCTCTATTTAATGTGTATTTGTTAATATTGCGCCGATAGTTATTACACTGGAAACGTGATCCAGATTAGATTTGTGAATTTGAGTTACAGTTATTGAAATAGGATTTTATTCAATAAGCCTCCGTTCTGGAAAACTCTAAATATCAATTTAAAAATGGTCTCTCACATTTTTTTTTTTCACTATACATTTAGGCCCTATTTGAGCTATATTTTTTCAAAAATGTGTTTTTTTAGAACTTACTTTCAATCATACGTTCTCCCATAAAATAATGTTATACATAAACTCAAATATTTTTTCTTTTTAATTACATTCTCCAAATAATTATTATCTCAAAATGCATTTTCTTTCAAAATCTGGAACCCATACAGGGGCTTAGTAATATTAAGCTATTCACTGTTTATTTTTACCTATTTACAAATCAAGCCTTTGTTAGGAAATACTCGAAATTTGTTGATTCAAAAAGTTTTATAATTCTTCATGATCTACTTGGGACAATCAAAAGCAATAGTCATGCGTCGAATTACTAACAACTTACGTGGACATCATCTAAATAATCAAAATATTCTTTACATAGATGATTATTTAGCTGTCACTTGTTCAAAAGGCAAGTTAGTTGTAAGATCTTACCCTATGAAGATTAATATTAAATCTTCGACTTTATTGAAACGAATTAGTGTAGATATATTTAGGTTCATACACCCTCATTGTGGACCATGTTCATTTGCTTCATTAGATTATTTGCTCAAATCATAAATTTATGTACTCAATTTTTCGATTATTCAATCAAGACATAGATTTGATAATGCTAATGAATTTAGATCTCAAGTATTCTACGAGTATTAATTGAAATTCTGATTGAACATTCGATTTGATTGGTTCGTATACGATCAATTGCTTATCAATAATACTTGTTTTTACACTTGCATTTGGTTAATAATCTAATAATTTTCACCTGAGTTTTCGGCTATGCAGTCCAAGTTCCAATTTCATCCCTACAATGGACCAAATTTTTGCACCAAAGAAGATTTGAAATTTAGATACCTTCAACATTTAACATGTGATTTATTTACTATTTTTCCAACTTTGGAAGGGACGAAACTAGATCATGAAGAACAATGGTTTTTTTTTTCTTTTTTCTTTTTGGGAATAAAATAACTCTATATTATTTAGATCCTTTAAACAATCAATGTGAGTAAGATGTTGAAAAAATGATTCACTTGCAAAGAGTAGCAAATCAATTGCTTGATGTTATTTGTTGATAGAAGAAAAGTGATAAAATCATAATACATTAACATAAAACACTCTAGCAAAAATTGATATTTGTGCCTGACAATCTAGGAAATGAATATCAAATATGTTAGAAGTGTCGTAGCCAATTGGTAAAAAAGACTATACCTCGAAAAGAACCGTATAAGAGAAAAACCAATTCAAAACTTTAAATAAAACAATGGTTGAAAAGATTGATCTATTAAACTAATAATGTGATTGCTGCATAACTATAAATATTCGAAAATAAAGAGATTTTAGTAAATTATTTGTTATCTCATAATTATGGGAAAGAAACAATATTATCTTGGACAATATTGTGAACCACAGATCTTTAAAGGTTGTTAACATAGAAATGATTCGTCAAAATGAAAAGAAGTTAAGACAAGCAGAGTCAAGTTTGAGCAACATGTATGCATGTAAAGGAATCATTTGAGCAACATGCAAAGAGTATGATCCCAAGTTTGAGCAACATGTATGCATGTAAAGGAATCATTT